GGTGGGAGTTGGCAGAAGTGGCAAAAAATCACAGTGAAGGAAAGTTCTGAAAAGATTATGACAGAGTTGTTGATAGTCCAGTGGGACAGTACTCAGATCTGTTTACTAGCAATGCAACAAGAGCCAGCCATATTAACAGAATTTAAAAATAGTTGTTTCCTGTGCTGTGCATCAAAATATTAACAATAATCTTAAAATACTTCAACTAAAATTGTTCATCAGCAGAAGAGAAGATAATTGACTAAATCAGAAGACTGATGTAAAATTAATTTTTTTCATTAATACTTCATAGAGTCATAGAAAGGCTTCATTTGGAAGGTATCCTAAAGGCTGTCTAGTTCCAACCCTGCTGCCATGGGATGGGACACCTTCTACTATATCAGGTTGCTCAAAACCCATCCAACATGGCCTTGAGCACTTCCAGGACAGGACATCCACAACTTCTCTTGGCCATCTGCTGTAGTGTCTCACCATCCTCACTGTAAATAATTTCTACCTAACATGGTGTTTAAATGTCTCCTTTTTTGTTTTTAAATTGTTTCTCCTCCTTGTCCTATTACTATCTGCCTATGTAAGAATTTGCTCTCCCTCTTTTTTATAACCCCCTTTAAGCACTGGAAGGCCACAGTAAGGTCTCTCCACAGAGCTTTCTCTTCTCCAGGCTGAACAACCGCAGCTCTCTCAGCCTGGCTTCACAGGAGAGGTGCTCCAGCCCTTTGAGCATTTTGGTGGCCTCCAGAGGAGCTGCTCTTAACAGGTCCAAGTCTTTTTGTGCTGGGCACCCCCAAGCTGGATGCAGCACTGCAGGTGGGGTCTCATGAGGCCACAGTAAAGGAGAGAATCACCTCCCTTGACCTCCTGGCCACTTTTCTTCTGATGCAAGCCAAGATCAGGCCTTCTGGACTGCAAGCACACATTGCTGCCTCATGTCCAGCTTTTCATCCATGAGAACTCCCAAGTCCTTCTCTGCAGGGCTGCTCTCAATGGCTTCTGCCTGTCTGCAGTTGTGCCTGGGGTTGCCTCAAGCCAGTGCAGCACCTTGCATGTCATAACCAGGCTGGGCCTAGAACTGCACCTTTCAAACCCAGTGTTTTCTACAGGAACAAGCAGTTTTGCTCACAATCATGTAGATTCTCCTGAAGAACAAAATGGTAGTGCTAATGGCATTTCAGATTAGTCTTCTAATTTATCATTGTATGCAGTGTTAATGCAATTGCCTTTCCCCCCGGGTAATACTTCGTAGTAGTGTAGAACATCTGATATGAGTAAAACAGAGGACATAGAGCAGCAGTGCTGTCTTGGCAAACATCCTATGTACTCATGGTATGTCTGAGAAGGTGAAAAGTTTTACAGCTTTTCTTCCTGGCTTAATTTTGCAACAAACACTGTTAGAGGGAAAAAATTTGTTGTTTGGGTTTTTTTTTTCTTTAATATGTGTTTTTTGGCAGCATCTGTATCTGAAGTAGTTGGCAGCAATAATTTTTCCCTGGTCAGTGCCATTCCTATAGCACTGAATGCAGTTTAGAGTGTAATTGTTTCACAATAATTTTGTATTTGTGTTTAAGGAAAATGGTTGTCTGGGATCATGGACAGCTGACTGGAGAGTTTGCTAATCTTTGAAGTCATTCAAGAAAGAAAGAAAATGGTTTAGCTAAACTTTGTTTAGCATGATCCTATAGTTTAGAAGTTGTTTCTAGATGTATTTAAATAACCAAGTGTCTTCTTTTCAGGAAACAATTTCTCACAATGATTTGGAAAAACAGTTTCAATTACTACTTAGATTTTCCAGGATTTCTCCCTGCCCACTTTTGGAAACTTAATTGACCAATAACCAACCTTATTTAAAGAAATATGTAAGAGTATAAAGTGAATTTCAATTCACTTCCCTAGAATTATAGGTAATGCTAGAAGCTTCTTTATAGCAAAATCTTGCTGAATTTCAGCACGTCCTCTGAAATGCTGCTGTCTTGCAAGTAATAATTGGCAAATTATCTCTTTGTCTTGTGAACTTTTCCTTTAAACTTTATCTTTAGTCCAATTTCTCCTTGCTTTCTTTACAACCAGACTCTTTCTATGCATTGCTTCTGTGTATTTTTTTTCATGTGCTACACTTTCATGTTCAGCTTTAAAGTGCTGTTACCTGGCTTTTGAAGTAATTCAATTCTAATACTGCATTGTAGGAAAGTTTGAATGGCTGTGTGGCATATAGATCTTTGTAGGATTGATGGGTTGCTTTGTTCAAAGGAGACAGTTTCTAAATTTTCATAATTTTTCTTGTGATTCACAAGTGACAGTTCTCTGTTCAGCGGTGTGGCTGCTTATCAGAGTCATTAATTTTGTGTGTATTCCTTAAGGGATCTAGTCTGAGGAGAAGTGGCTGTCTGTCTGCTCTGATCAGACCTCTGGAAATCAGTGATCAATGTTGTTCTACCCCTTTAGCCTTCAGACAGCTGCATCAGATATATTGAGCTTGCTGTTATGTAACAGAGTCATGCTGTAATCATTTTCTGATGAAGGATGTTCAAATAGATAGATGGCTGTATATTTAAAGTGTGTCTGCTGTCATAATGATGATTCTTTGAGGAGGGAAGCAATTAGATGTGCCTGTTAGTTATAAGCTGTGTGAAATTTTATTGTACTGACACATCTGCATTTAGTTATGTTTAATCACTTTAGGTACTGAAGTTATTTTATGAATTTATGAGAAATAATCTGCTGAAGAAACACCCACAGCAGGGAATTTTGTTTATAAAAGGGAAGCTGGACTTGATATGAATAAAACATGAAAATCTGAATTAAATAAAATAGAAAACCAGTCTTGCTACAGAGCTGTTGAATTGCTGATGCAAATCAGCAATATATAAAGAACGGGTAATTTTCCATGTTTTCAGTAGTGCAACAGGTTAAAAAGCAGGATTTGTTGGATGGAATTGTAGTTTTTCAACTAGAGATCTTTCTCAGATGCCTTGTTAGGGCAGTATGGAAAAGGCTATAACTAAATTTCAGTGCTTTGACTACTCTTGCTGTGGTTGGTGTTGAAATAGAAGGTTGTGACAGGAGGTAACAGATTTTCCTTAAAACTTCCCCATTACAGGAAAAGCTTGCCCCTTTCCTATCTGCTGCCAAGTACATAGTTGAGGAATTAATGGAACATATGCTGTTTGGGATAACTTAGTGCCAGTATTTGACTTTAATTGGCCATGCAGAATACTTTTAGAAATCTTGGGTTCTGTTATGACATGCATTAAACTTAAGAATTACACAGAAATGCTTCCTCATACTTAACTCTTCACATCTAGTTCATTGGTAGCTGGACTATTAAATTTTTTATTTGTATTTTCAAAACCTTATTGCAATCTAAAGGTTGCTTAGTCTAACAGTAGAGGAGGCATTTGTCATAGACATTTGTGGCCATACAGTAATAGTGGCATTTTCTTCTCTGACAATAGAACAATACTCTTGTTCCTTCTGTAGGCCAGTATTGTCAAATACTGTTCAATGTTAATGATTTTGTCTGAGCAGACTGTTTTCCTGATTGTGTGAGATATTTCTTTGTGTGAATTGGTTAATGCTTGCTGTTCTAGTTGTGTTCTGATGGAGTTGGATCAGTGGATGACATTTGTAGTACACAACAGTATAAAATGGACATTCAGGAAGAATGTGGAGCATTCAAACACAATCTAGCACATTGTGATTTTCAAATTTCAAACCTCTTTCGATAAGTTTTTGAAGATTTTAATGCATTTAATCAATATTTGACTCCTAGTATCTCCAAGGCTATTTTTTTTTCTAATTGCAGATATTAGTTAATTAGTTAAGAGATGATAAATGCTTAAAATATTCTAATCTTCTAGTGGTCCTTTACCTTATTTCATTTTTCTGTTCCTTTTGTACATATTTGTCCTGACCAGCATCCTTGGCTGAACCTTTGCTGCATTACTTGGCAGTTTTCCCTGAGAGCTGATTGCTCAACTGACTATATAAAACACAGGAGGCTGTGATGCATTTGCACACGTGATGGTTATGTACAGAACAGACAATATCCAGCATTGCTTAGATGGGTTTCTTTCCCAAAGTAAAAAGATTCAAGTGTGGTGAGCACACTTGGATATTTTCTTGTGTTATTACAGTTGTTTCTAGATAAGGATTAAAAATCTGTCTGACCTTTTATGAGGGCCCTTGACATGTCTGTAGGCTTATTGTTTGATTTTCAGGTTGATAAACAGGAATATGATTATGCTATAGAAACATTAACACTGACCTGGCCCTATCTTGTGTTAGCAGACTGTTAGTTTCCCAGAAAGCAAGATACTTGCACTCAAACAGTGCTGTTTAACAACAAGATTAAAACCAGAATTGCTGCATTAGGAAGAAGCAGTGGAAGGAGGTCACTGATTTGTGACCTCTGTGTTAGTATACACATTATTCACGGGGATGTGATGCTGATATATCTGAGCTGGCTTTGAACCAAATGGTTCAAACTGTTTTAAACAAAACCAAACCAAGATGCAAACTGGTAAAAGCATTGTTGTGGATATCTGAGTGAAGATCCACGGGTAGGGGATGAACATGAGTGTATTGCTGTGGTGTGTGAGCTGAACTGTGTGTCTGTGTGCCAGGTCCCACAGCATTTCTGTCCATGGGAGGGGCAGAGCCAGTTAAATGTGCACATGCTCTCCAGTAACTGGGTAGACCTAAGTGTCTCTTTCAGCTCAGAATAGGAAGGGGCTTACTCACAAAGTTTGATGCAGTTACTTGTGGAGTGTGTACAGGTGAATGTGTTTGAAATATCACATTAATACTGTGATAAACTGGGCTTTCCTGCCCTCTGGTTAGAAGTGGGCCTGAGAACTGCAGCACAACGTTATCAGATCTAAGCCGGGTATGTTTTTGCTGCTTTCAGACGTAGCAATGTAATCTCATGTCTCACTTTTTTTAAAATTAGTTTTTATAGAGCTGTAGCATTCTACTTAACTGACAGAATTTTCTTTTTCTTTCAGCTGATGCAGCCCAACAGTTTCAGTATGCCGTGAGAGTTATTGGAAGCAACTTTGCTCCCACTGTTGAGCGTGATGAATTTCTTGTAGCGGAGAAAATCAAGAAAGAACGTAAGTGCATCTTGTTCCTTTCTTAGAAACACCAAGTTCTTTTTGAAGTTAATCAGGTTATTTCTCTGAAAAGGGGACAGCTCTGCCTCACAGATAGTTATCTAATATATTATTAAAGCTTTCTTCCTGAAAATCTCATGATGTAAATGCCATTAATTTCCTAGTAAATATTCCTGAGTGGCTATTTGTATTCACAGCTCAGATTTTTTTGAATACTCAACTTAAACTTTCCTTGCTGCTTTGTATCTTAGCCACTGTGAAGACAAAGAGCAATTAATACTGCACTCCATTCACCTTAATAGTACTTGGAAATTATGAATTCATAGTTCTTCTTAGAAGAGTAAAAGACTAATATTTTTGAGATGTGCACTTCAGGAATATTGCATGTTGGCACAATTAACTTCATGAGCACCTGTGTGAAACTTGCTGAATGAGCATCCTGGGATGGAATGGCTTGTGACTTACCTGACTTGCCTTCAGTTTCTCTACAAGTTTTCTGCCACCACCTTTTTAAAAACAAAATCAGACCATGACTTTGTAAGGGATGTTGCATTTCCATTCCATTGTGCTCTCTGCTGCTCTGAGTCACATGTTGCACTGTGTGTATCCAAAGGGAATGTGATGAATTCTTCTTGAAAAGCCAAATACTGCTTTCAGCAGATTCTGCTACGCAGTAGCATGTCCAGAAACAATTACTTGAATTGTACTAATGAAATTAAAACCTGATATTTGAGCTTTGAATGTTCAGAGATTGAATTAGGATAACTGACGTCAGTGGTTATAACTGGTTTAAGGTCCACGTGTGTTGTTTGCTAACGCAGAGCTTCCGTGACTTGCTGACAGACAAATAAGCCCTTCAGAATTCCTCTAGCTACAACTCCAAAACACTGAAATCTACAATATATACTTTCTGCCATACTTTGGCTACTTTGTAGACAGCACGGCATGTATTCCTTGGGCCTGTTGCCAATTTTCTGAAAAGGACTGTCTTCCTCATCCTCGTCCCCAACTTCAGCTGGATATATGTCCTTCCAACTTTACATTTATTTTGGAGATACCATACAAGTAATGCCTTTCTTGGCAAAGTGTACTTACCAGTGACATTTGGTGCTAATTAACATTTCTAACACTTAATAGCTATTTTTCTTATCACTGAAGTTTCTTCAGATGTCTTTGTCCTGGTTTTCTTTGAACATGACTCTTTCTGATGCAACATAGCTTTTTAAGAAATCTTAGTTGGAAGATGTGTCTCCTCTGAGAAGGTACTTCTGTAACTGGCATTGATTTATTATTTTTGTAATACATGAGAGTTGTGTGACCCTGGAATTCTGCCTGACTTGCAGTAAATGGCATTACTACTTTTATCCTTGATTTTATTGCCTGAAATAGAAACAATTACACTCTAGTTTTGGAGCAATTACATGTAGTTTTTATAACATTCTTTAATGATTATCTACTTTCAATTGTGTCTTCAGTCCCTTAGGTCCCTAAATCTACTGAATGGCAGACTAGACTTTACCAGGACAAAAATGTATATTTTGATTGGGTTAAGAAAAGCAGGTACTTGTATTGATCACTTGCATTGCAAGAATTCTTAGGGCTGAAATGCAGATAAGGTGAAAAGTGTTTAAGTAAATACAATGAAACAGTCCAGCATCATGAAGCTTTCTTGGTTGCATTTTATAATTTACCTCAAGTATATGTTAAGACATGACTGTTACACTTCTTTCAAATTTTTAATCTACTTTTTCTTTTTTAATAGTTGTGCGACAAAGAAGGGAAGCAGATGCTGCTTTGTTTTCAGAACTCTACAGAAAGCTCGGTTCACAGGTAGTTTAATAAATGTGTAAAGAGTAAAGAAACTGAAAGCACTCATAAGCATCCTTCTCATGTTAGAGTTGTTTTGGAGAGTGCTCAGGTCATGAACAGTATTTTTTCTGGGAGGATGGTTAAATATTTGAACAGCTTGCCTTGGAAAGTTGTGGAGTCTTCATCCTTAGAGACAAATCAAAACCTGACTGGACACAGTCATGGGCAACCTGCTGTAGATGACCCAGCTTTGAACTGGGGGTTTGGACCAGGCAACTTCTAGAGATGCGTCTCAACCCTAGCTCTGTTTTTAGTATTTGATTCAAGTTATATACAGAGGTACTTCATGTGAAGAAAGGGACTCTATAAAAATAAAGGGATCATTTTATATGTGAAACTGATGAATTTTCTCATAATTTGTTTTACAGAATTGCCTTGCAATGTATTGATTTTACTAATCTAATATTCTCACGTATTTGAATGTTTAAGTGCTCCAGGTCTTTTCATGTTGAAGGTTAAGTGCTTGCTGTCTTGGATGGCTCTAACACCAGTGTTAATCAAAGAACACTGCATGCCGTCTTTCTGACTAAAGATGTTAGTGTGTGGAAAACCTGTAACATGATAATGCTAAGATTAAGATTACAAAAAAGGTATTCTGTGGGGAGTATGACTAGACAGAACTTGGTTCTCTTCCTCCCCTCTTCCATCTTGACTCACCCTTTACTTTGTTAATGTTTGGACTCGTTACTGAGTAAGTTGTCCTGGTTTTAGCATCCTGTAGGTTTGTGTATTAATTGCAGTGCTTTGTACAGCAGAGCACTGATTTGCAGACAGCTCTTAATACAGATTTGTGTAACGTGTCTGTAGCTTATGTACTGCATTGCCATTTGGCAAGCACAGTGATGCAGAGCATGATGACTAATCTTTGGAACAAAATGCCTTGCCTGTGTTATATGTTTGCTTTTTCTTCTGAATCTAATGCAAGCTATCTCCTGGTATTTTACTGCGTCCTCAAACATTTAAGATTCTTCTAACCTTTTTTCCCTCTGCTAGCATCTTGTGTATATGAAATAGTATAATGGCTTCTTTAAAATTCACACAACCAATTATTATTCAGTCTGCTGTTAGGTTTATTACTAATGGTGTACAATCATTTCCTATGAGCATAGGGAAGGGCTTAAAGGGATATATGTTTTCTGAATCAATTAGGCTCTTCTTCCAACATTTTTCTTGAAAGCAGTTGGGAGGGGGAAAAAAGTGCAGGTGAATCTGTTTTAACTTTGTTTCATCTATTACTCCAAACAGGAAAGGAGGTCAGTGCTTATTTTTATGGCAGCCTGCCAGTTGAGCAAACCACTTTTCTTGAAGCGCTTGGATTTATTCTGTCCTGGCCAGTAGAAGAAGCACTTGCTGCTCCTTCCTCACCACTTGTTTATCAGTTGCTGTATTAGTTACTTGCAGCAGATACAGTACCTCTACTTGTTTGTTCTTGAGATTAAAGCAGAAGATAATAGAAGTGTGCTTTACATAATAATATAGAATGTCTCCTTTTATATAAAAATGTAGAGCTTTAGTAAATGATGTTGCTTCATAAGAGATGCAGTCTGTGTTGAATCTTGATATGACTCAAGTTTGCTTTATATTCAGCATTGCTCAGTATTGCAGATCATAGGCTGATCAATATTGTGAGGGAATTTGTATAAGTTGCTTTGACTCAGCCTAATGTCCATCATAAGGTTCTATGTCCCTGGTAAATTCAGGTGCAAGTGTTAGTGTCATAGAACTATGGAGTAGCATATCTAGGAACATGCATATTTAAAATAAATCATTTTAGTGCTTACTTTCATTTTAAAGTACTCTGTAGCTTGGACTTTAGCTGAAGTTGGACAGCTTTCTGCTGAGATCTAAAACTGCAGACAGTCTTATTCTAAAAGTCTGTGTGTGTCTGTTTGCTAAAGACTATATTGTGTATTCCTCGAGTTTCATATTAACAATATCTCTGTCTTAAGTTATTAAAAAATCAGTAGCTCTCTTAAATGGCATTTAAAGTAACAGAAATCAAAACCCTCACTTTCAAGGCCTCCCTGTAAAAGAGGGTGGAGAGGAGAAAGGAGAAAAGATAGTTCCTTGCTTAGAACTTCAGTAAGAGTTTTCCTTTTTCACATTTAGGTTAAATTAATGGCTGCATCTGAGATGTTTTAAGTGGTGAGAGTGTGTGGGAATGCTGGTAACAGTTCAACTCTGTATAAACCTCATTCTTAGTAGCTATGAATTTTAAATTCAGCCTGCTTGCTGATCTCATAGCAGGTGAGAATTCATGATTTGAACACAGTGGAAAAATTCATAAAATTAGCAATACAGAGGCTGCACTGCACATTCCCAGTTTATTCAAAAAATGTGGCTCTGAGTTAGTCTTATTTATCTGGAAAGTTTATTTACATGCATGGTTGGATAATTAAGAAGAATTTTGTTCTTATCAAGAGTTGAACTTATTTATGTTTGTCTTCATTTTTCTTTGAAGGGCATTTTGAAAAACAAATGGTCAATACTCTACCTCCTGCTAAGCCTTAGTGAAGATCCACGTAAACAGTCTAACAAGGTAGGTGAGGATATTTTTGTTGCTTCTGAGAAATAGGAAATGTGTGTCACTTATTTTAGATGTCTTCAAGAATCATTATCCAGACTTAAACAATACCTCAAGGTTGTTTTCATGATATCTGTATGTGAGGCTGAAAGGGAGAAAACACTTGTTAAGTATCTGTAATATTTGGTGTAGTTTTCTTACACTACATAAATGTAAAAATATGAGCTGTCCAACATGTGCAACTGAAGCTGTGAGTGTATTAGAAGGGTGGTTTTTATGTTTACTTTCTGCTTGGTGGTGTGATGTCTGCTCATGTGATAATGAATTTTAAATGGAGTAGGAAAAGCAAAATGCAGTTGCAGTGCTGCTGGCACTAAAGTGCTTTTTGCAGCTATTGCTAATGATGATCTGCAGGCAAAAAGAAGTTGTGTTGCTAAAATACTGTTGCTCACTGTGAGGCACTTCTTTGTCATGATAATTGCATCAGCAAATTTTTCTTTGCGCAAACACGGTCTTCAAGTATTTCTTGTGTTGTTGATATTACGCTTCTATTAACTGAAGATGTAACTTAAAGCAATTCCCAGATCTTTTTTTTTTTTTATTATTCCTCCCTTTTCAAATCCTTTTCTTTTCAGGTGTCAAGTTATCCCACGCTTTTTGCTCAAGCATTGCCACGGGATGCTCACTCAACCCCTTATTACTATGCCAGGCCTCAGACCCTTCCATTGAATTACCAGGACCGCAGTGCTCAGTCTGCCCAGAGTTCCTGCAGCATGGGGAGCAGTGGGATCAGCAGCATCAGCCTCTATGCCCTAAATGGGCCAACTCCAACTCCACAGTCACTCATTCCAGGGTAAATCTCACCTTACAGATAGGTTTGGAGAAGACTTGCATTTTTTCTTTCCTTCATCCTCTGTTTTTGTATGCCATTGGAAATTCCACTTTAGGTGAAGAGAAACTAAGTTCTGAGCTGAACAGTTCAGAGTATCAGGTGCTGGCATATGACCATATGAAGCCATAAATGGCTGTCCAAATGTGTCCATTTTTAATCACTATCTTCTTGTCTCCTCATTTTCTTTCCCACCCCCAAGAGTTGTGAAACAAACATGAAATCACAAGATGCATTTTCAGAAAGGATCAAAGCTTTTTTTGGAGTTGAAGACATATTTTTTTTTAGTAGAGTGTGTTTGACCGGAATTATTAAATTCATATTATGGAATTAGTGCTGACAGAACTGAATTTTATTGTTATTAATAGGCTTTACAAATACAAGTACTGCAGGAGTGATAAGATGATGTAGTTCAGCATTCTGGAAGTGGAAACATGGTAAAAAGGAGTATTTCATCCCTGGACTTCAGGGTAGGAGACTTGGAGCTCTTGTGTGATCTTTTTGGAAAGATCCCCTGAGAGGCTGCCCTGGAGAAAAGAGGGATTAAGGAGAGAACAGAATAGGATATTTCTGTTTGAAGGGGGCTACAATGATCATCTGGTTCAATGCTGGGCTAGAATGAAGGGTGGTATTCAAGGATCACGTCCTGCAAGCTTAAGAAAGAAATGGGCAAGGAGGAATTAAAAGTGGCAGGAGCCCTACATTGGAGAAACAAGTTTCTGACAAAACTCAGATATAAACAAGTGTACAAAAGATGGAAGCAGGGCCAGGTGCAAAGGAGCATCCAGGGGCAGAGTGGCTGCAATGAAATCCTAAACTGACCTAGAGGTTCATCTGTCAAGGTGCATGAAGGGAAACAGCAGCTATTTCTGCAGCTACATAAGCAGTTAAGGAAGGCTAGAGAAAACACGGGCCCCTGTTCAAGGGGCATGGACTTAGGTGGCAGATAGGAAAAAAGTGGAGGTACTTGGTGCTTGCTTTGCCTTTGTGCTGTGTCAAGTCAGTGCAGGACACTGAGACCCTTGGGAAAGTCCTTGTTGTTCTGAAAGCATGTCCAGACATGTGATGGACAAGAAGGGGGGGACTAGGAGCAGTCAGCACAGAATTCAGAAAGGCATGCTTGACCAATCTTATAGCTTTCTCTCATGAGATGACTGACTTGAAGAACAAGGGGAAAGTATGCCTTTGGTTGCTCATGGTTGCTTATTTCAACCTTACTAAGACTTTTAATGCTGTCTACCTGTGACAGCCTTATTGGCAGACATAATAAAATATGGACTAGGTGACAGTGAGGTGCGCTGAACCTGCTAGACTCAAAAGGATTATCATCATCAGTGGCACAAAGTCCACTTGGAACCCAGTCCCTAATGGTATAACCAGAAGCTGCATCCTTCATCCCACCTGATGGCACAGAGTGAGTCTTTGGCATCTTTGCAGATGATACAAAGCTGGGAGGAGTGGTTATTAAAGGAGGTTGTTAACCTGCTTCTCAGAGGGATTCAATGGGCTCCAGAAACAGGCTCACTACCTGCTGAAGTTCAGAGTCCTGCAGCATGGGGAGCAGTGGGATCAGCAGCATCAGCCTCTATGCCCTAAATGGGCCAACTCCAACTCCACAGTCACTCATTCCAGGGTAAATCTCACCCTTCCTGTACCTGGGAAGGAATAATTCCATGCATCAGTGCATACTGTGTGCTGACTGATTGCTAAGCAGCTTTGCAGAAAATGTTCTGGGATTCCTGGTAGGCACCAAGTTGAACATGAGTGTGCAATGTGTGGTGGAGAAGGCTAAGAGCCTCCTGGGTTGTGTTGTGAGGGACATCACCAGAAGGGTGAGGGAAATAAAACTTCTCACTGCTCAGTACTGATGAGGACATCTGAAATGCTGGGTCCAGTTATAGTACAAAGAAAAGATGTAGACAGGCTGGAAGAAGGAGTCTGGGGAAAGAAGCCCAAAACTATTTAAGGGGTTGAGGCATCTGTCATGTGAGGGGAAGCTGAGTCAGACCTGAAGTTGTTCAGCCTGGAGAAGAAAAGTCTTGATTACATCTTACCTATGTAATGGTGTTACAAGGGGCATAAGAAGACTGAGCTAGACTGTTCTGGGTCAGGGAAAGAACAAGTGGTAACTGGCAAAATATGTGAGTTGTGAATCACAGATAATCAAAAAGGAAAAAACCCCACATTTTTGCATTAAGATGGGGATGTATGTTTGAGTAGGGACATATTGTGAAACACTGACATGGGTTGCCCAGAGAGGTTGTGTAGTCTCTGTGTCTGAAAATATTAAAAATGACTTGAGCAATGTACCAGCTAGCCTTCTGTAGTTGATCTGCTTTGATCAGAGGGCTTGTAGGAGGTGATCTCCAGAGGTCACTTCTAGCCTCAATCATTGAATAATACTGATACAATATGGAAAGATATGTCAGTGAGGTTATTTCTTATATCTCCTTGCTTAAAAATATCAGCAGAACCTACCCTCTTTCTGGCATATTCTTCTGACCTGCTCATACTGTTCCATTTTATTGCAATTTCACTGTGCTCTTTAGTCCTGTAGACTGTGAGCTGAAGAACCCAAATTAAAGCTTTCTATGTTTCATTCCTCCTGAACTTCTCTTTGTACCCGTTGTCCTTTTTTCTAGAGTTATATTCATTTGAACAGCCGAACTTCATTGCTGTACTCTGAGGCCTTACTAGTGCTAAACACAGCAGAGCTCAGCCTTCAGCCCTGAGGCCAGTTGTTCTCAGGATGGGTGGCCTCCTGGGCTGGCAGGTGTGGACAGGGAGCACTGGTGGTGGTGGATCTGCTGTAATCGAGGAGGGAGAAGTTACTGACCTGTTGACCCAGTTGGATGCTCACAAGTGTGTGGGACTAGATGGCTCACCAAGATCCTGGCCATCATTTAATCAGCCCTGGCTAACCAGGGAGGTCCTGGACAACTGGAGCTTGGCCAATGTGACATTTTTTCACAGTTAAGGCTTTCTTTGTGAAAAAAATTGACAAGTTTGAAAGGAGGTGAAATTGGAACTTGCCTGGATAGTCCTTCCTTGATTACATCTTCAGGCACTTGATACAAACTATTTGAAAGAGTAGAGTAGCTGGAAAATGAGCTTTCTTCTCTTTCTCTATTTTTTTTTAGTTCTTTGATGTGTAACTACATCTTCAGTTAATAACAAAACTTAAATATTTAGGTTCCTCTACTATGATTATGTTTATTATGTTTATAGTACCTTCACTTTTAACCTATTTCAGTGTAATTACACATTTCATCACAGTTAATCTTTGATATAAAATCATGTATGTCAAACTTCCCTTTTCTACAGTTGGGGGCCTTTTTTGAAAATGTAGGCTTACAGGAAAAAAAAAATTGCTTTTGTGTTCTCTACCCTTTAAGGTTCTGTTATTAAATCACCACTACCCCTCCCCCAAAAAAATCTGCAAAAAACTTGGGGCATCTTTCAAAATTTACGTCACTCCACTGTATGTAATGGGTATAGCATGAAAGTTTTTAAAGGTGTTTTTCCCTTTTATCCTTGTAGACAATCCTATCAAGCTGCAGGTGTTGGAGATTGCCTCCGTCAGCAGCTGGGTTCACGTCTTGCATGGACTTTGACTGCAAGCCAGCCTTCCTTACAAAGCACTACCTCAAAAGGCTTCCCAAATGCTGTCTCTCGTGCTGTGCCGAGGTCCAGGCGAGAAGGGGACACAAGTGGTAAGCAAAGATGTATTTGTTAATGAGAAGGTTTTTTACAGTTGTTATCTATATCCTCCATTATCTTTTATTTTGGGATCGTAGCATGTTGATTTTTTGAAGGGTGTTTTTCTAGAATGGGCTTAATAGAAGGATAGAAGCAAATATGCAAGACTAGTGTATTTGACCACAGTCTCTTTGGCTGGTTGTTAATTTGTTTTTGCACTGGTTAGTCCTCTTAAAATACTGAGTTCATTCCAGTGTTTGTCATCGTTAAATGATTGTGATATGTGAGTAATGATCATTCTTTTGATGATCAGAAGATGCTACTGTTTTTAGAGTAAGAAAGAGACCTCAGTAAACAGAACTTGTTGAAATACTCCTCTGTTTGTGGTTCTGTGTCTTTCAGAACTTGGAAATGTGAACTGGAATATAGAACTCTTAAACCTCTTTCTTCTTTAGATTAGCATACTGTTTACAGTGGTTGTATTTAGAACAAGTGACATAAAATATTGTCAATAAAATAAAAAAAATATGAATATAGTTGAGTTGGAAGGTACCTTAAAGATCATCTTGTTCCAACTCTCCTGCTGTGGACAGAGACACCTTCCACTAGACCAGGTTGCTCAAGAACCTTCCAGAGTATCCTTGAACACTTCCAGGGATGGGACATCCACACCTTCTCTGGGCAACCTGTTCCAGTGCCTTATCAGCCCTCACAGTAAAGAATTTCTTCCTAAATTCCTAATATTGCTAATTTACATCCACGATTAAGTGTGTGTAAACCTGAAACTGATGTCTAGAGGATCTATTCTGAATTTACACAAGTGCAGCTAAGGAGGAGTTGTTTAACAGGTGATCTCTGTGGCAAATCTTACTGTAAAAGTAAGTTCTGAATAAGTGAGCTGATGGCAGATGTTGTTATCCCATAGCACCATTATTCTCTGACAAAGGAAGATAAGAGATGCAGGCTTTTGTTTGTGGTGTTTTGTTTCTGTTTGTTTTTAACTTCTCTAAAGTAAGTGTGGATATTAAGGAATATAGCGTGTCTGCCAGCCTCTGCATCTTTGAGTAGCGGTGTACAAAGCAGTGGCTTATATCAGAGTTGTACTGGTGTATCTGAGTGCAATATTTGACATTTAGAGCCTAATTAACAAGACTGTTATATGCAAGAAGATGTGTGTGTGTATACATATGTATAATGTAAATATGTGTTTTACATATGTAGTAGATTTAATATATACAAAAATAGAAAAAAGAAAAAGGAGTAGGAAAAGGCATAGGAAAGAGAAATAGAAAAACATAAAATCTAGCACTGCCTCTTAATATATTATACTGATTGCTATAAAAAGCAATACTTCTTCTGTTGAGTCAGCCAGCAGCTGTGACTTTGATTCCTGTGTGGGATGGGTATAAGGACTGACAGTTGTCTTAAATGTATTCACTTGCTGGTGTAGAAATGGAAGTAGGACTGCATTCAGAATATAAAGTCTATTGTCAAGATGATTTCTATGAATATTAAATTCCTGTAATTCATTTTTTCTCCTAAAGTTGCTTGTTTTTATTTTTTTATTTTGAAGTTTTCTTACTCTTACATCCACACACAGAGTATTAAAAGGCACATTGTATGGCTAGTGTTAATACTTGTATTATTTATCAATGAAAGAAATGTGCACTTGAATCTTTCACCATTTCACTACAAGTTCCTAAGAAGGACAACCTACAGTCTTGCACATCTTATTGTTATGTGGGGAGACTGAATTTTAAATGGTATCTTAAATTGAAGACTACTTATACTGAAATAAGAGTAGAATTTAATTTTTCTTAGTATTTTTCTGGGAAAGTGGATTGTTGGGGAGTCAAACTGACAAGGGTAAGAGTACTATCTAAATTGGGAGAAGCATGTTGTAGCATCTCAGTTTCTGGATAGGTAAATAAATTTACAAAAGCAAGTGGTGACAGTTTGCCCAGAAAAGGTGGGGGTAGGTTCAATGGTCTACACAATGCCTTTTTTGATTTTATGTTGCCTTTAAATTCATAAATTTCTTGCATCTCTAACACAATCTACCCTCTGACTAGAGATAAGAACCAGAAGCAAACTTCACACTTGAATATTTTCTAGCTCCATGGCTGTTAAGCAGTCTGATTTGATCAGTCTTCTCACTGAGCAGTGGCATATGTAATTGAAAGGCATTATCAAACAAGCAGTTCTTCCTTCTGGATTAACTGTTCTTTTTCTAGGTGAATGTAGAAGAGATTATTCTAGAAGTCTATTCCAATTTGAACTGTTTGTTCAAAGAAGGATAAAGTTACTATGGTGCTTCCCTCAGAGCTTTCACTGGTGCTGTATCAAGAGATAACCAAGTTTAAAAACTGGCCAGTGTGTCAGTTAAAATAGGACATGCCCTGTGCCATACAGACTGACTGCTCTGGGAGAACCAGAGGTGGCATTAGAGGCAGGTAAAGCCAATCTTGTCCTTTCCTGTCAGACTGAGAGGACCTGAAATGTTTCTTTACCAGTTACAAGCCCAGCATATTTTTTTATAGTTTGGCTATGGTTTTTTTGGCTATGCATCTAAATAGTTCTTCAAAGTTATAATCAAAACTTATTGTCTCAACAAATCTAAATACTTGTTTTATTTTTGGTTTTTTTCTTTTCTAGGTTCTGTTGAAATAACGGAAGCAAATCTTGTAAGAGATGTTTTATATGTCTTCCAGGGAATAGATGGCAAAAACATCAAAATGTGCAATTCTGAAAATTGCTATAAAGTGGAGGGAAAGGTACTGTATGATGACTTGTATTTCATATGTTAACAGAAAAGCATATGGGGGAAAAATAGCTGTGAGAAACATGTAAAATAGTTAAAATATTATTACAAGTCTATATTCCCTCTACCAGCTGGTTTTTTTTTTTTTTGCTGGTTTTGTTTGTTTTGTTTTTGGGGGTTCTTTTGTTAATACAACAGAGTAGTTTCAACATTAGTAGTTAAGAATTGATTGGGTAGATCAGGTGCCAGGCAGAAAATGTAGCATTTCACAAGATGTGAATAGTCTCCCAACTCTTAATCCAATAGAATGTCTTGTAAATTATGGCTTTGAGAACTTCTGTCAACATTTTTCCTCTCCAGTGTATAAGAATTAACATAAAGCAGATGCAGGTATTTTACTGTGTTCTTATTAGATTAAATTTAACAGCCTGAGATATGGAGTAGATGCTAGCCACTTGTTGTTATGGGCCTGGTTACAGTTATAAGTGATCAGATGCAGGTGACCCAGAAAAGAAAGGACTGGTGGTAGAACTGAAGAAAGGTCTGATGTGAATTTAAATGAAGACATTTTATAAGGGACAAAAGAATAGGAGAGATGCCTGAGAGACTTTGCTTTAAGGTGGGGAGATCTTAGGCCTGTCTGCAATTCAGAAAAACCCCAAGAGTGTGATTGGGGCAGCTGACCCAAAAGAACAAAGAATGGTGCTAGTTGCTTTAGTATCTTCACATTCAGTATTTAGACAGTACAGCTTCAGAGCTCAGTTTCTACTAATTGGTTTTTATATTCAGATGGAAAGACAACACTTTCAATTTTTACTTACATTAAAAACTTTCTACTATGACAATATTACATAGTCCTTAAATGGTGGGGAAATTACTTCTGGGCCATTTCATGTGCCAAGATCATGGTAGATGGGTCCTAATGTTGATACCTGAGCTAATTTCCTTTTTTCCTTCATGATAGTAGTAAAATGTTGTAGTTGTTCACCATTACTTTACAATGACATTTACAGCTGCTTAATGGAGGGATAAATGGAAAAAACTTAAGTCCTGTTAAATCTTATTAATTAACAGATTCTTAATAAACATCCACCTGTAGATGATGTAAAGTTTGTAATTCCTTAGCACCTTCACTGAGCAAATTATATTCAATATATGAGATTATATATGGCAAAAGAAGGGTAGCATAATATATTTTTCTAGAGGAATGTGAAGAAAACTTTGCCAATTTTGTAATCACTGACTATAATGAAACTATGGCTTCGTTGGTTTTCTGTGTAGCTTTCCTATCCAATAGGCTGGTTTGAGGTCAGAAGCTGTTTTACTTGGAACTTGTAATTCAGGGAATTTAATTACTGACCACAAGCCAGCTGAATAATCTTTGCCTGAGAGCCCTGTCTTCAGTTGTTTTTGTGAAATCAGTTGTCTTCCGTTCTTCCTTACTTGTACTTGGTCTGAGCTACTGGACCCAGTGAAGGTGAGATTATCTGACCCACCAGGGCTGCAGCTGGAACTTCTGACAAGCAAGGAGGACCAAGATCATACCTCCTCTAGCTGTGTAAATGCCCATTAGGTAAAATAGTAGTCAGAGCATGTAGCTCTCCCTCAGATGGCAATCTCATTGTACACAGTCTGGATTATTGGGTTTTTTTGTTCCAGAAAGAAGCACACTTTCTAAGGTGCTATCCTTGCTGAAATGTTTCCTAATCTTAGTGTTAATATTAGATCTGGTGGTGACATTCAGCACTGTATAAGATAGCAGCTTCTGATTTGATCTAAGGCATACAAATGTAATGATACCAAGCCCATTGTGCTTGTTCCTCATTTAATTCCAGCGGATGTGTGTTGTGCTCAGTGTTTGCCAAGCACTCTGTACTTGCAGAATTTTAAATAGTTCTTATGTCATCTCTTTGGTTTCAGCTGTGGGCAGGGTTTCTGTGTCCAATTATGCTTGTTTGGGCTGGAATTTACCCTACAGAAGTTGTTCAAGAAGTTAAAGCTCTACCTCTGTGGGTAAACAAGAGGGCTAGGGGCTGAACTGTGATCTTACAACCAAATGCTGCAGCCTGTTTCAAGCCCACACTGGTGTGGATAACACACTCTGACACTAATTGTTATCTTGGAGAATGCCTGTACTGTTAACTAAAAGGTTTAATGAAGGGGATTGATTTCTACTTCTTTGGCAGTTTAACTTCTTGGAACAACTCCTTGCTTTGGTTTTGACTGTTCCAGCTGGCTGTCAAAGTTAAAATTGTCTGTAGAGGTGGGATAGGCCCAGTTGCTGTGGGTAGAAGTCAGTCTCTGTCCCGTGGTTTGTATTATCAGTCAGATTGTTTGGGGATTTTTATTCAATGACATTTTGAATGTTTGATGGTAGTGTTCTTGAGTAATATGGTGAAATGTGGAAGAAGAAAATCTCAAGTAGGAAGTGTCTTATCTGTTGGTAAATTAGAGGAAGAAATGTGCTGAGTCAGATGAAAGTAATAGTGGTAGCCAAATAGGGTGTTGGGACTAAGGCAAGCTTGCAAGATTAGTGAGATACTAGAAGAAAACCAGAAACCAGCCTAGAAGAGTTCAGAAGGACATATGATTAAATAACTTAAAAAATCTGGACTTAATCTTGGTTCCTGATGCCTAGTCAGGCATCGGGTCATTTATTTTCTATTGAAGGGTTCTTTCACATGTAGCTATTACTAATTATTTTGTCAAAGCTTTTTCATTAGTTTCAGTCATTAACACCTCTGTTACAACACTCGTATTTTCAGTCTTGCTGGTTGTCAGGATGAGATAAAGAGTCTGATATTGCAACATGAAAATGCAGGTTTCTTCCTTTTTTCTGAAGACCATTTTGTTATTGCCATAATTGCCTGATATAAAAAGTGTATGAATACTGTTATATTAAGATTTCCAAAAGAGGTCTCAAAGTTGGCAGTAGTTTGTTGCTGCTGCCTTTTCAATGCACATGTGTATAAATATAATGCTTATTACATGGTTGTTTGCTTTTCTGCAGTATCTGTACTGTAGAATGTAAAATGAATTGTTTCTGAAACTGGCTTTTTTTATGAGAAAGGGGGATCTTTGTGAAGAAATCAGTATTGGTGTGGCAGATTTGACTTAATTGCAAACTTGTTTCTGTTAACTTTATAGGTGAGCTTGTCAAAATCTCTCCGAGATACTACAAGCAGACTTGCAGAGCTGGGGTGGCTCCATAACAAAATAAGGAAATACACAGACCAGAGGAGTTTGGATCGTGCATTTGGACTGGTGGGACAGGTGGGTCAGCTAGATAAAACAGTCTAACTTCAGTGTTTGTTCTTGTTTGGCTAAGAAACTACTGAGTAAATGCAGTGCTAGAATGATGCATAACCTGTGGAGCTTGAATAATTTATTGTTTGATTTACTCCTTTTGTGGATGCTGCATTTGATATGGGTCATAGTCAGAAGGCAAGGAAAAGGCATTTGCCCTTTCTGGTCTTAAGGATTTGCCCCTGTAATTTGTAGCTGGAAACATTCATAAATTCCTTTTCTTAATCTCCATTTTTTAAACAATCCCAATATTTTAAAATTATTCATGCATGTTCATAAACAAAAACATTTCTTAAATGGGATGATGTTATCCCTGAGGTAATTAATCACCAATTCAGTTGTTAGTGACCTGTGCAGGAGACATTCTTGTCAGCTATTGTTGATGTTCATATGTTAGTACTGCACTAGCTTACATAAAATGCAAGTAGTGCATTATCTTCTGCCCTTTCTTTTGAATACAACATCAAAAGAATATTAATTTTTGTTTTCATAGGTTTCATCATCATGATTTATAGTCTACAGTAACTTCACTGCTGCTGTAATATCCAAAACCACATTTACTGCTAAGACATTCCCGTTTCCTCTCACTTGCTCCCTCTGTAAAACTGGATATTATCCCTTCTGAGTCGACAGAAATGTTATCCTTGCCTCTAGCCATAACATCCTACCTAATCTGCCAAGAAATTGAAGTGCTTCTCCCTTCAATCTAATTTTTCTTAAGAGGTCAGTAGAGACACTGTAGTGCTTCCTACTTTTCTAATGTTTTATTCTGTTCCATTCTGTCTCTTATTCTAAGTAACCCTTCTAGTTACATATAAATAATAATTTTTCTACTGATCCAATGCTAATTTCCATGTTTTATATGGCAGTGCTACTGTGTATGCATTTTCTTTGGACTCTCCCCCTTATATCTGGGTGAAGTTTTATTCTTTATCTAGCAGCTTCCTGCTTGTGATTATTTTTACTGTCTCTGGCTTTAATCTTCAAGTTTACAGAAAGGGGAGAACTTTAATTCTTCAGTGAATTTAAATGTGTAGTGTCTTGGCTTCTGTATGCAGGTTTCAGATCCTGTGCAGAAGGCTGTGCAGTTAAGTTACCTGAATCTGCATAGCTCTAATGCTGCTAATTTTGCTTGAGGCAAGCACTTGTGTATATTTCTAGGACATAAGTGTACAAACAAAAACTTATATTCTGCTCTTGCTGTCAGTATTTGGGCACAGAGAGTATGCCTTCATGCTCATCACAGCTTTCATAGCTGAGAATTTCAGGTGCTGTGCACTGTGCATTAAGGAATTTAGCACAACAGTGTGTATTGATATAAAACATCTTTCACTTAATGTTCTGAAAGGATGATTGTGTAAACCCCTGTTTAAACCAGGTATACAGTAAGATGTAAGTCACCTCTTCTAGTATGATTCTGGTGACTGATTTTACCACACAAAATGTCAGGCATTGACATTAGAAGTAGAGATGTAACAATATATTACACTTAATATTTTCCTACCATTGCTGATTAATATCTGAATTTTACTTTGTCCTCAGAAAATAAAAAGAATAATTGGCAGTTAGCTATCCTTTAGCTTGTACTTTGGCATTTAGATCCATTTGAGTTAATGGGCATTTTAATTTTTTTCTCTTGAACAAGCATTCTGTTTCCTTCCTCAGTTCTCTTTTGCAGCAGTCCAAATCAGAATTCTAGGGTAATGTCCAGTTTTTCTGTAACAGTTTGGGAAGCAAAAGTCTGTGGTTTGTGATGCAGGAATTGGTACTGGGTGTAAATTTTAATTTGTAAAGCTTCTCTGAAAAATTGGTGACCAGTTAGTCTAAATCCTTTTGACTACTAAATCATTAAAGTCAGTGATTACTGTTCTCCTTTTTGACCAGAACAGCGTCTTTGATTGTTTTCTTAGAGGCTCTGCTCTGCCCTCTATCTTGGCAAGTGCCGCTTTAATAGGTTCAAAAATTTCCTGGAGAAGCAAGTGAGAAGAAATGAAAAGTGGAGTTACACATAAGGGGATTTCTTTTTGCCCTTCAGTATCCTCTGGAATAAAAAGAATGTCAAATTTCTTTGCAATTTACAATGTTGAGTTGAAGACAGGAACCTCCTTTCCTTAAAGATACAATGGCAAGATTAATGACTTTTTTTTTCTAGGCTTCTTAGCTGCTTAGGAGGAAAGAAGATTTATTTTCTCTTTGTGCTTCTAGAAATTATTTCTGCCTCTTACATACTCTAGTGAATAAATACTTTAAGTTTTTGGGTTCTTTCTATGAGTTTTTCTTTTTCCAAATTCTTTTGACTGCAATTTTTAAAGGTCTTGAAGGAAAATCCTGGGAAATTTCCCATTAAAAAAATCCATCAAAATAGATATCGGATTCATTAGCTGAGAATTGGTTGAAAGTTCTGAAGAATTTGTGTGTGTGCATGAGCATATTCTTCCAAGAAACCAAACAAATAAAAAACTCGGGGCATTTCTTGGGGAGTTTTAAGGTCTTTATCAGTTGTTCCCAAATTAATGAGTCATATTTTTAGTTCTGTTTTGAAAAATGTGTTGCAGGCATTTTTTTAGTTTGTATATTAAGACCATTACAAAAGTAAAACAAGACCTCTTCCAAACCCTAAACTATGGAAAATATTTATCACTAAACAAGTATTATTTCAGGAATTGTTTTTAAAATTTATCTTGGTTTTTAAACAACCTAAAGTACCTGTGCTTAGAATTGTTTTACAAAGAAGAGTTTTTGCTTTAGTTCCAGCCTGAATTAACTTCTGCACATTTTACAGATTTCTGAAGATATACTTTGTGTTGTTCATTTCTTCCATGTCAAGTGAACAATCGTATATAACTGTGAATTGATGAAAGGTCAAAATTTTATAGTTCTTGATCTGGCAGCACTTATTTGGAGCATTTCTTGAGCATTGTGTTTTCTTGTTCATGTAATATAGTCTATACTGTAAATATAATGATAATTGCCTAACTTTTGTGTTCTGTTGTTAGAGGCCTTCCTGAAATTTAAACTCTGTTACTTCACTGCATACTGTATCTTACATGATTATTTAAAAAAAAAAATTCAACTGGGTCATGTTATAATTTGTACATCCTTGTGCTAATTATTGTTGCCATTACTGAAATGATATGTCTACTTGAAGAGTTACACTTTTCATAGTTTATTATGATGATAGAGTTAAGGTAGCAAGAAACAAGGTCACTTGATAATGTGTATAAATTCCTGGAAAAGGTATAGGCATCTCTTAGGGAAGCACTTATACTTTGGCCATTACTCTAAGAATTGGCTTTTATGCTGAAACTTCTAGAAAGATTCCCTTCAAGAAATTTCTGACTATGTTGGAAGTGTGGTGATAGAATTAAATAAAAAAGCTTTCTCCTCATGACTTTTCCTTTTATTTTTTCCCCTTTTTTTCCCTTCTCTCTCTCTTACAGAGTTTTTGTGCAGCCTTACATCAGGAACTTAAAGAATACTACCGACTTCTGTCTGTTTTGCATTCTCAGGTAAGTTAGGTGGTACATATTCAACTTCACTATTTTGTTCTGTTATCTAATATCTCCTAAAAAGTTAATACCTACCTATTCTGTTGGAATGTAAAGGATGTACAGCAGTTTTTGTTGACAGTGAACACAATTCTCTGTACATTTCTTGCTCTTTAGGTGTATGTGCCCTTGAATGTTCTTCTCTTAAGAATTCACTGGTATTTGATGTGTTACATAAGCAAAGAATACTATGTGTATTTCTAAGTCTCTGTCCCTGTTTTGCATCCTTTTTGTCAGTGTCACCTTGCATTATATCTTTATCATTCAAATCCTGAACAATGTCACACATTCTTGAGTGGAGAAAAAGCCAGTCCATCTTTCCAGCAGTGCACAATATAGCAGCTAGTAATAACACATACCAGTTCCAGCTTCTTTTCTGTGTGGGGCAGTTTGTACATTTTTCTTGTCCCTTTGTTTTCTGAGAGTAAAGACATCTGTTCTGCAGATATTTGGATGTTTTACTATTTTCCTGTAACATACAGACCAACTCAGTGCTGATAATCTTGCAGGTTTTCCACAAATGTTTGTAGGTATGTGCATCTAGATGCTGTCTCTAAAATAAAATACACTTTCTTCTGGTTGCCTTTTTTTGAAAGGGGTTTTCAAGAGGTTCATTACTTGTAATGGTGAAAAATTTATTCTCAGAATTGACTTAAAGCTAAATTATACTGCCTTTTAAAACTCTGACTTCAATAAAATCTTTATTGTTTGTCATAGGCTTTTGTTAATGTTTTCAAAGCATCTGTTCTTTTAACTTGCAGTTCTTGAACATTCTTGACTTTTGGAATGCTTGTTATGTGTACTGTTTGCTTGATTTTTCTGGCTATTATCCAGTTATTCTTTTGTAATTCCCTCTTGCTCTGTCCAAAATGTGTTTTCTCTCTTGGTTTGCTGGTGCTTTGATTTTTGGTTTTTTTTTTTCTTATTTCTAAAACTTCTTGATCATTAAAATACTCAAGTACTTTGAGATGCAGTTTGTCTACCTGTCCTGCCCCACCAAACCTTGCAACAGAAGAGATGAGTAGGGTGGGAGGGAAAGCCTGTAAGGAAAAGACAAAAGTTCTGGGGTTATTTTTTTTAAACTGCATTTGCCTTTGTGGAGGGTTGACCCTGGGCAGCAGCCAGGCACCCACCCAGCCTCTTGCTCCCCCCTGTCTCTTGAGAACGGGGAGAAAATAGAAGGAAGACAAAAAGACAAGTCAATCAAGTTAGTGAGTGTAGAAGGGGAAGCAAAAGCTATGCGTGCAAGCGAAGCAAAGTAGGGAATTCATTCACTTCTTCCCTTCTGCAGGCAGATGTCCAGCTGCTCCTGGCAAGCAGGGCCTCAGGGCACTTAACACTTGCTTGGGAAGACAGACTGCATCACCACAAATGTTCCTATTTCCTTCTCCTTTCCCTGAGCTGTTTTTCCTGAGAAAGGTTTTTGTCCTCCATAAGCTTAGAAATGGTTTTCCAGGATTAGTTGCTATCCCAAGGAATGAAGTGAGTCTCACTGGTGTGTAGTTTTATGGCTTCTCCTTCTTGAGGAGAGGCATGACATTTGCTTTCTCAGGGTTGTCAGAAACTGCCTCTAATTGCTGTGTTGTAAAAATAATGGAGAGTGGCCTTGCAGTGACATTGGGCAACTCCTTCCCTCAACACTCGGTGCATCCCATCAGGACTCACAGACTTAGGCATATCCATCTGTTTGGTGTACTCTAGCCTGATCCTTCTGAGCTCAGTCTTCCTTGTTCCAGACTTATCTCTCTTGTTATCTTGACATCTGGTATCCCCAGCAGCAAATCTTACTGAAATACCAAGGCAAAAAAGGCATTAAGTACCTCAGCATTTTCCATTTTTTTTGTGTCACCCCTCATGTAGCATCATTCAGACACATTTTTCCCGGTCTTACTTTTACTGCTGGTCTTACTGTTACTCTTCATGCTCCTTGCCAGATTCATCTTCATGTTGATTAAATGCCTTTTCATAGGGAACAGTCAGTACAGTGTCAGCAATGCTTTGCTGCAGCAGCAGACTGGAGTTTCTGGGGAATCCAGGTCCCTCAGCACCTAACTGAAAGGGTTCCCAGAGTCACGTTATGTTTGGATTTTCAGAAGCTTCTGGCAACATTTCTTCCCAAAGACATGAAAGGAAGGAGATCCAGCAGTGGAGTAGAGATTCTTTTTTGACTTGAAAGGTGGAAGGGCTTGAAGGCCATACTGCAGAATGGACAAAAAACCCGTACCTTTTAGCTTCTTGAAAGCATGTAGAAAATTGACTTGAAATTGAGTGTATGTGACGTTTTTTTGATTCAGGAGTTCATACAGGCTGCCAGATTAGGAGTTGTTAACTGCAGTTCTAGAGAGCAGTATGGTCATAGAAAAACAAGAATCTTGTCAAAGGGTTCTATACTCTCTTTATAACATTTTATTATGTCTTCAGAGCTTCTCCTGAGCATGTTTCTGCTCTTGAATGACTAATCCTGAACATACTGTCTGCTATTCCATAAGTGTCTCTGGTCTTTTTCTTGCAGGTTGTTTTCACATTGTCAGCCCATTTAAAAATGCAGTTCCATGATGAAGACGTACCATGTCTTCCCTAAAGTCAAAGGGTGGCTCATGTATCTCTCTTGTCATTGCTGATTTCCAAAAACACCAAAGAAAAATCCCAGGCATGGACCCAGGAGAATTCGGAAACAAATGAATTTAACTGGCTCTAAGGCTGAGCTTAATGTGGATGACACTAGCCTTAAATTTAACTAGTATGTTGCATTTGACTAAAAAAAGGTGCTAGATGGGAAAGCACAGAGTGGGTTGGTTGTCATATATCAGAAGCAGCATCTTTTCTAAGAGATTGTCTCCTTGTACTGCTCCAGGAACTTGCTTCTGTAATCTTGAATTGTGTTCTTGTCCTGCTTATTCCATCTGTTCTTGTATAAGATGTGCATTTGCACCTTGGATGCAAATACTTGGCTTTTATTTTCCATGGTGTTGGAAGATTCATGGTAGTCACATTATGATAGTTTTCTTATTGTAGCTTTTAAAGTTTGGTGTTTTTCTTTCAACGTAGCAATTCCTTAATCTCACTTTAAGGCTAACTTAAGTTCTGATGGCTTCTGGAGGAAGGCATTGAAGGGGATTTGTCACATATTGAACTAAAATAAGCTGCATGTGCAGTAATGAAAAATTTACTTCTCACAGCCTGTCTGTGCTTTAGATGTTTTTCTTTACTCTTTGTCGAGGCTGTCTTTCAGGATTTCTTCTCTCTTCCTTTGCTCTTCTTTCTTCATGACTTTTACTTTGCTGTCTTTAACTTTCTTGGTCTTTGTGGTTTGTCTGCCTCATTGTGCTTATGCTTATCTCTGTTCTTTCACCTGTGCTCAAGTCTGTTTCTCTAAAAATTGGCTCTCAGGTTTTGGCCCAGTGACTTGATGAGAGAATACATAACACTGGGTATTTCAAGTGTATTAGTAAAAATCTGACTTCAGAACAAACTATGAAACCCAAGTTCTTCCTCAGTTTTGTTCTTTGACATGTCTTTCTGTTTCTAACTTGATCAGTTACAACTGGAAGATGATCAGGGTGTGAATTTGGGACTTGAGAGCAGTTTAACACTTCGCCGACTTCTAGTCTGGACATACGACCCCAAAATAAGGTTAAAGACCCTTGCAGCACTTGTTGATCACTGTCAAGGTCTGTTTAACATTAACTTAATATTTCTGGGGATTTTATATAACTGAGTAGTTATGCATGCTAGAGGTGGGTATCAATAATATTAGTGCTTGTTTGGACTTCTTTTTTTTTTAGAAAATTTCAAGTAGGTAGTTCAGATTCTCCCTCTTTTAGTTTAAACAAATGATGACAAATTATAGTGTTGTGTTGATACATTCAGACTTCTTACTTTTTTAAGACTAGAATGTGCTCAAAAGTTCAATTTTAAGCATGCACTTTTTATGCTATTTTCAGTTACTTAATCATTTTTCAGAGAATGGTACAATGGAAAAGCCCTACTAATATGTTATGAAATGGTTGACTTAGTTTCTTCACTATATATGAATATTATGCAATTTCTCTATATATGATGGCATAGAGGAGTCATTAGTGCCTTGTCTTCAGACTCATGTGAAACAACAAAACTTTGCAAATCTGCAAATATTGTGTTTTGTTGGCAATCCACAAGAGGATGCTGGGGAGAGTCATGTTGGAGTTTACCAGAACTTTGACCAGTAGGTGACTAAGCTGACCAGTAGTTGATGCTTCTCCCTGATTGTACTTTAGATTTGAGATTGTAGCCCTTGAGAAAGAGCATCTTAGCCAAAAAAAAGCCTACCACACTTGCTTTACCTTAATTATTGGAATTGTTAACAATTTTTTTTTTAATGGGCTTTATTTTTAAGACATTCATGAAAATCTTGAGCTGCATGGCCTCTGCTGCAAGGAAGTGGTAAACTATGGAGCATAGCAGCAAAATCAAATATTCAGTCTATTTTTTAACTTTTTCTTTTGACAGCCTCTTACTTTACAATTGCAAGAAGACAGGAGATATTCCCTAATGGGGCTATGAGGGCAACTATAAGCAAGAAACATGAAAACCCTGTTTGTGTGCATGTATGCACACAGAATATCTGAGAGTGTCAAGTACAGGAGAGAAGGAGAACATTCTAAGGCTCCTTTAATGCTTCTCTGGAAGCATAGCATCAACTTCTGTGTGTGATCTGATGCCTTGAGTTTTACATTCCTCTAAGCTGCCATAAAGTAGACAGATAACTCTGCTTAATGCTTTAGTGAGATTAATAATTCATGCTCTAAAACCTAGGAATTCCCTGTTAGCAATAAAAAAAAATCTACTTTTGCTACTTTTAGAGTTGCTCTTTAGCAAGCTCAATGTGACACAGGGGTAACTAAAATCAGTGGCTGCTAAATTTAAATGGGGTGCATGTGGTTTTCCTTCAAATGTTTGTTCCTTTCTTTTTCCAGGGAGAAAAGGTGGTGAACTAGCCTCAGCAGTTCATGCCTATACTAAAACAGGAGATCCCTACATGAGATCTCTGGTTCAGCACATTCTTGGCCTGGTATCCCATCCTGTCCTGAACTTCCTGTATCGCTGGATTTACGATGGAGAGCTGGAGGATACATACCATGAGGTAATGTATATGCTACAGTAAATGCTTCATCTCTTTGCATTGTGGTGTGATAATCTGTGGGAAGCTTAGAGGAGAACTTGAAAAGTAGAGTGTGAGGAAAAGGTATAACATGAGTAAGCAATACACACAATAACCTGAAATACCACTGTCTTCATGAATTCTTCATGAATTTGATATCTGCAGGTTGCAATGTGTTGTCTTCAACTAATCATATGCTGGGTCTGGTTAGTAGAGTCAGAATGGTGTTCTGACACTAGGTCCTTGTTTCTGAAGACAAAATAATTCCTCTCTATCTTTTCTTGCTGTAATGTATGCAGAGTTCTTTGTAACTGTTCAGAATGCAAGCCTTGTATTTGGAATGAAGCTCACAATATTTTTCTGTGACTGCATGCTGTTATCTTTGATAAATAAGCTCAGTCTGTCAAACTGGGTAGAAGAGGTTTATAGTTCCAGAGTTGAAACTCTGCAAAGTTATTTGTTGTGACTTTTGTAACATCAAGTTCCAGTAATTGTCCTTTTTCTTCTTGGAAATATTTTGTATGCTTTTCTAAATTCTCTCACCACTTTCCTCCAATCAGTACAATCTCTTTAAAGTGATTCGGTTTTTTTCTTAAATTTTTTTTGTTACAAGAAGCCAAAGAATCATTTTTTAAAATTGATTGAGCACTTCTGAGACAAATCTGAATAATTTTATTTGAGGGTCAAATATACTGTCTGTTGTCTTGGAATGTCCTTATTCCGGTCAAAATTTGAGTGATAGTGACAGCTGATCTTTAAGCTGTAAAATTGTGTAAAATGTATATGAATCTTTTTTTAGAAGTGTAAAACACTTTTTTTTTCCCACATACTCCCCAGATTTGAGGTTCTGTCTTTTTAGGATTTTAGGGAGTTTGTTAGCTTTAACCTCTGCATGTGCACTGGAAGAGTGTTCTTAGTGGAAAATTAAGAGTGTTCTTAAGTGAAAATTATTGTTGGATGTGTTGTACTGAAAGCTATAATTTTCATATGATAGACAGTTTTGAAGAAAGACAATTGGCCATTCTTGGGGAAAATGGTATTTGGAGACAGTGAAAAGAGTTTGTGTCCAGGAAATAGGTATATTGTTTTACAAGATGAAGATATAATCCATCCAAACTTCACATCAACAAAACTAATAAATTAGTTTTAATTTTTTACAAATGAGGGGATTCTATTCTCAGAGACTGGAACATTTGATCACCATATCAATTGAAAAATTTTTTTGGGTTTTTGCTTTTCTTGTATTTTCTTTTTTCCCCTCTGCATCTGTGAAAATAGCAGAAATAATAGTTGAAACTATAGGTTACAGTTTACATTAATCTTTCGCTTTAAATATTTATTTCAATCTTCAGTTTTTTGTAGCTTCAGATCCTACAGTTAAAACTGATCGGTTGTGGCATGACAAATACACTTTGAGGAAATCAATGATCCCATCTTTTATTACAATGGAGCAGTCAAAAAAGGTATGAATCTAAAATTCCATCTTCTGGTGATTTGTTTGCCCTGTGCTGCTGCTTAGATTGCTATTGAGAAAATAGAGACCAAATTTGACAAAAAATAATCTTCTCAAGAATTTTAGAATTATTTGCTGAGGAGGGCTATAGGACTATTTCTCCTTTCCATTCTCTAACTGTTAAACTTGGAGGAGATCTCAAGTACGGGGAAAAGAAGTTTTAAAATGTGTTTAAAACCTTTTTATATTAGCATTGCTATTCTGGATTGCTGTGGTTGGGATTGTGCAACTAAGAGCACAGAAAGATGACAAAATATCTTGTCCTTGTGGTTGTGGATAGCTTCTTTGTTTGGAATTTTATTTTTTTTCTTATAAGCAAATATTTTTTTAAAAAAAATCCTGTTTTGTTCAGGTCCTTTTAATAGGAAAATCCATAAACTTCTTGCATCAAGTTTGTCATGACCAAACTCCATCCACAAAGATGATTGCTGTTGCAAAATCTGCAGAGTCTTCAAAAGATGGTACAGTATTAATATTATTCAGTATTTCCCCTTTGAACTGACCTCCCATATTCTCTGTGGTTTAGACTGTAAGCTGGATGGTGGGGTGGAAAGGAGTACAGAAATCCCATCTGCCCTGAAGTATAGGTAAATTAATGTGTACTTGTTTTTTACAAAAGATGTATGTTGATGCTTGTGTATAATTTTCTTTATTTTATAGGTTTGCTGGATGATTGTTAATGTACTGAATTTGTGAATGAAACAATTCAAAAAACAGTTTGCCTTCAGCTGCCTCAGCTGGGGTGGGAGCAGGGATATTCTTGAGTGCTGCAATAAGAATTTAGTATGTTTGACTTCTCATGAAATATTCTCTGTCATACAATTCCATAATACTGAGTTAATTCTATGGTTGAAAAACAAAAATACTCAGTTAGTTGTAAATAATGGAATAAGCAGTAAAAACAGAACAGGAGCCTTTCTAGCCTTTCTGTAAATGCACTATATCAATATGTCAAAAAGTATGTGGAAGGTTAGTAAAATTCTTTTTGAAGATGACTTAAAAATGGGATTGCCATTCATCCAGCTGATAGACATGGAACCAGAACTTAACTGTTAAATTCTTGCAGGTAATTTTGTTTTATTTAGAGTAGAACTCGGTTTTAATGAATGAGAACTTCTGTACCATTTGTGGTTATTTTTTGGTGGCATATTTGTTGCAATGAAATCAACAATGTTATGATGAAAGGTGGCAAATAGTAAGCATGTAAACCAAGGAGACTTGGTCTAAATACTGAGCAAAGAATGTGTCAGATGGTGCTACATCTCTAAGAAAGAGCAGATTGCTGCCATCTGGTGGAGGGGATATTTTGCTACTGTAACTTCTTTTGATAACTTGTTTAATATACCAAAGATAGTCTAACTGTTGAGATATAGCTCGCTGAGATAAGTGTTCTGATGCTAATTTAAATATTTTTCTGTCAAATTGTTGTTTTCAAAGAACATACTTCTTAACATTTTATAATAAAATATTACTTACACAAGCTTTAAAGTCATATATATATATATAGGGTTGTTAGGTTTAGATTTGTTGGAGTTTTTTTCACCTCCAAATAACCTTGGATTAGTTTTAGTATTAACTGTTCAAAGTGTGGACTTCTGGCATGAGTGCCTCCATGAAAAATGTTCCAGTGATAAAATCCCATTCATATCTGGAAGATTTTGTCTTCTAATAATGTGATTCTTGCACCATGTTCAGTGATTGCTTAGTCAAAGATAAGCCTGAAGTGCAGAAAGGGGTGGTCAGGGTTAAGTGAATAAGGGCTGTAAATGCATTTGAACAATCATCTTGCTAGCTGCTCCTGGAAAAAAGGAAAAAACCATTCTTTGGCTGCACTACTTTCACCACTTTATACAGCATTTATGGCCATGCTTCTCCAATATTTCTTTAAATTTGCACTTGTTTCTCTTTCTCCTTGATTGAATGGAAGATCTGCACAAATACAGGTTTCCTATTATGTGGGAGATGAGAGCTTCAAAGCACACCTACATAATTCTAAGTGCTGAGAATAACTGTTTGAGACAGAAGTGTAGTTTTAGAAATATATTACTCTATCTGCAGTGTGCTGAAGGTGTGCTGAGCTTACAGCTGGCAGCCTAATATCTCATGGTACTGCACTGCTTTAATTCTGCATGAAACTGCATTTGTGTTTAGGGCATTTTACCCATTAATGCTGGAAGATCATTCTAAGTCAGGGATGTTGGAAATGCTTCCTTTTGTGCTTGTTTGTGCCATCTAACAGTATCCTGGAAGTCCCTTTAGATAATTACTTGTTATTAAGATAATGGAAAGCTAGGATGCCAGCCTGAGTTCTGGATGCTTTTTCTCATTTTAAATCTGAACATTTTGTGGGTTTGGCTGTATTGTTTATTTCTTTCATTTGCTTTGGAACCTTAACTATCATCTTTCCCCAGTTTCCTTTTGATGCTGAAATAATTGTGGTGTGGAAAACTGTCTGAACATGTATTAAAACAAGAAGTCTGACATAACTGTGTAGAAGTTGGTCATCCTGCCTGGCAGAGAATTGTAGCATTTGGGAAAGAGGAACAGTAAAAAAGGCCAATAAAGTGACCTCAGCTCCAACATGTAGTTGTCTGTAGTTTGGGGACTTCTGGACCAGGAATGACACTTTTTTCAGTAGCAGCTCATGGAACCTGCCTGTCAGTGATTTTAGTCTGACCCTTTCTTTATCCACTTCTGGCTCTTCAGTGTTCTGAGATAATTTTGCAGAGTTTTCAAAATTTGTGCCTAAGCCTTGTGTTTGTTGATGTAAAGAACCTTTGTTGCAGTTTTGCATGTCAGACAGGAATGCTGTGTTTTGCCTGTGCTGGGGGCTGTGTGTGTATGCAGAGGTTGTGCATTACAGCTACAGATACAAACTTGACTTTCCAGTCTGAGCTGAAGGGCTGTGGCCAGATCACTTCCTTCAAGGCAAGAGGATCAGTACTAAGGAGAGGGGAAAGACTGCTTTTTCTGCTTGAGATAGTAAGAAATTGAGACTGGTCTGTGTATCCCAGAGCTACTGCTTAGACAGACACACCCCTGTGTGAGTGGAGACAGGACCAGCATGCCTCTCATGTTCACAGGGAGTTGCCTGCTGGCTTTGCTTGTGCCTTGAGCCAGTGCTAGGCCCAGCCTCTGTGTCCAAGGGCAGAAGAGATCAGCTGGTGACTCTTTCTGGCTTGGCTTTTTCCTTCTCTTGTTTTGCCTGCAAGGCTTGCAGCACCTTGAGCAAAGACACTTGCACTTACTGCAGGCTGTATTAATTCTCCCATCCCTAAGGTTGATGTGTGCTGCTTGACTGAGTAGTATTTCTCTAGTCAAAGGATTTTAAACACAGCAATGTGTTATAAAAGAGTCATTTCCTTGAACTTTTGTGTCTTATGGAGAGTTTCACTGGTTCTGAATGATAGTTTGGAAACTTTCAGGAATGTCAGTGAACCAGACTTTTAGACCTCCCTTCTTAGAGTGAATTCTTCATTAGAGCCACTGGTTATTTCTTCTATTCATAAGCATTTTATTAATTGAGTAGTTAAAGTAGGAGTATATCCTTTAATGCTGAAGGTCTGAATCTTATGATAGCTGGCAATCCAGTGTTTGGAATATTGCTCCATATTGCCTGAAGAGGCCTCAGTTGCTAACTCATAACAATTTTACTGGAGTCTCTTTCTTGATGAGCTTGTAGTTGTAGAAAACAGTGAAATAAGCTCCCTACTACTTTCTGCTGCTTCCTGCTTTCTGTCCCCAAACTGCCATGCATGAAAGGAGGAGAGAAAATGTCAGATTGCTGGCTGTCCCCCAGGTAACTCCAGCATATTCCCTTTTCTCTCATTCTCTTATCTATGGAAGCTCTCTTCTGTTGAGCGTTTTAACAGTCTGTTTATTTTTCCCCACACCCTTAGAGGTGCCTTTTGATTTAGATTCCACCCATCAAAGGTTTTCCTAATTCTGGGCTTTTAGAACTCAATAAATGATTTGGTTTGTAAACTGCAGTATTTCAGCAAGCTTGAAAATCGCCAACTTTTTATATACATAACATGAGCTTCTACTGGCAAGTACAATCTGGGCACAGATTAAAAGTAATATTGTTGAAGTGTAGGCTGCTTTAGACTTGCTTTTGCTTTGGCTATGGCAAATGTATAACACAGTGGGTCAGAAGACATGGCAGTTTTTCTGTTTGTGTGTTTCAACTCCAAAGCTTATTTGCCTCAGTTTTTGCAAATTACTAATTTAATTTTTATTTTTATTTTCTTTTAGCTGCTGATTTGTTCACAGATCTGGAAAATGCATTTCAAGAGAAAATTGATGCAGCTTATTTTGAAACCAGCAAATACCTGCTGGATGTTCTCAATAAGAAGTACAATTTGCTGGAACACATGCAGGCCATGAGGCGCTACTTGTTACTTGGTCAAGGAGACTTTATCAGGCATTTAATGGACTTGCTCAAGTAAGACAATAGGAAGGGTAATTATGTTCAATTTCTGATAATTCTGTGCATGATCAGCACAGAAACTTTTGCTTTTTGAAGAGGACTCTCTAAGTACCTTGTTCAATTAAATCTTTGAGTAATAACTTTAAAAATTCTATTTTGGGTTTTGTTTCTTTGACCCTGAGGATTAAAACTTGTTCTTCCTTTTTGATACGTGGTACATACAGTACCATTTGACAAAGTCTTGAAAAGTTGTACTAATACAGATATCTTTATGTTGGCCCTGTGACAGCTTTGAGGATGTTGGCACTTCTCTTGGTCCTGTCAGCAAATTTCAGCAGAAACATTCTGCTTCTGATGTTGCTGATGAGCTTGGCTGGAATTATTAGGCCTCTATATTTTGGAGATATTTGGTCTAAAACATAGTGTCAAAACCTTCAGAGTAATTTGAAAAATCTATTTGATTCCTCACCAGCTTCTGTTTCAAGCACCCACAGCTACTGAATCCAGTTCTTTAAGATTATTTGCAAGTTCATTTTTACATGCTGGTGCTACTGATGAAACTTCTTCCATCAAAAGCATTGGCTTGCAAAGCTTTTCTTTGATCCAGAAGGCAGGCTTTGTAATAAGGCTTTCATTAACTTGTTTGTAAATCAAAGTCAACAGTATATGACCATGCTTTTTAATGTGAAGCTGAGTGAGGTTGATTTATGGAGTCAGTATCACATTTGAGACAGAAGGAGTGAGAAGTTTTCCAGTCTTCTCCTATTTTTAGGGACCGAGAGTAGTATTACAAGAGGTGCATGTTGCAACTCTTTGGAAAGTTGAAGTTACATAGATGGGGTGGGTTTCTGTCTTCCTGCCAGCACTTCTAAGCCTGTGAGATGGCTATCAGTAAGTTTCTCAAAACTGAAGTGAAATTATTGGTTTGATGTGCTAACGATGTAATCTGCCTCATTTAAGATCTGAATGCAACTCAAATTACAGACTAGCTAAACTAGCAATCCTGGTAACTTCAAATTACGGGCATTAAATGAGGATTAAGTTGCTCCTCATGCTCATATTCAGGAGTGTAGCTGCATATGAATAGACATATTCTGTTCATACTCGGTGCAAATATTTTGCTCACTGATTTTCTTCATGATTAAGTCTGAAAGAGTAATAGTTTTGAATGTCAGTTAGAAAAGGGTTTTGCTGTGTGCTGCAGTTACTACTGAATTGCTGCTGCAGAGTGTTTCAGTAATGTGCTATGACTGTTCCATAACCACAGGCCAGAGCTTGCACGTCCAGCTACAACCTTGTATCAGCATAATCTGACTGGAATCCTGGAAACGGCCGTGAGGGCCACGAATGCCCAGTTCGATAATCCCGAGATTCTCAAGCGATTGGATGTGCGACTTCTGGAGGTCTGTTATTGTGGTGACTCTGGTCTGAAAGATGCCTTTGTGTGTATACATGCAGACATCTGCATGAAACAAAATTTCCATGTGTGAATCCATTTCCCCCTTCCTTTCTACTGAAGTTTACTTTGAGTAATATAAAGGTCATTTAATAAGTCATCTTCTTTTTGCCTTTTCTATCTATTGTCTATTTGTATTTCAAGATGGAGGTTTGCAGCTATTGACAATACAAGGTTGAGTATTTGGGGCCTAACAGAAATTGATGCTGGTGGTGCTGATTTGAAGTTCTCCAGACAGCTCTTAATGCTGTTGCTCTTACGAGAACTGTGGTGTGTGCCTCCTTCTTGCCTCTAGTTAAGAAAAAGAGAAGCAGTGAAAGCAAATTTCATGGAAGAGGCCTGTAGTAAGAAACTTCAGTTAATTTGAAAGCTTCAGTCCCTGAGGTTAGACTTCAGTGAGCTGTAGCATCGGAAATAAATCTGTTTCAGATGCCAAAGAAATTTGTCCTTAGTGGTATTTTCATTTACTAGGTTCAGTGGAGAAACACTGACATTGCAAACATCAGTATTTGTGTGAGATCAGCCTCACCCTTGTATCAAATGGTTTGATCCATTTCTGCCTAATCTGCTACTTTCAACAAGAAACTCCTGTATCTCTTGTTGATGTGGATGCTTGTTTGCTCATAGGCCCTTCAGAATGAAAGAGAAGGCCAGTAATGCTCATCTTCAGCTTCAGTATGCTCTGACTGTACACTAACAGTACCATATCTTTTTAATACAGGTATCTCCTGGGGACACTGGATGGGATGTCTTCAGCTTGGACTATCATGTTGATGGGCCAATAGCAACGGTAATGTCATACACTGCTGCCTCTGAATGTGTTTGGGGTGCTGAATTAAATTGCTAAGGTTTTTTTTATTTAAGTAACCTTTTTTTGTTCTGGAGTGTGAAATCAGATTTTTTTTTTTTTGCATCTAGGATGTACACACTGTATCAACAGTTAAGCAAAAATCTCAGTTCTTACCAGTTAGTGTGAGTGCTGAAAAGCTACATTTAAAACAATCATTACTGAAAATCAGTAATTAATTTGTTCCAGCACAGTTTTTAGCAAGGACTTAATAAATTGAGTTCTCCTATTCTTTGATAATTACTCGTCTGTAGATACTAATTTGGGAAAATTTGAAAGGAACTGAGGAATGTATTTGTGGAGAACTTACTTATGCTATCTAAATGGCATTTGATAGGTAGTTGCATTGTTTATCTGAATGTATTTAGCCTCTATAAAGAGCGTTTCTTTTAAGCAGGACAAACTGTGAATTTGACCAGCAGAAGGAATTTTCTTATGCGGTTTCAAAATAGGCTTAGGCTTAGTTTTGTTCACCCCTTCTTACACTTCCAGCAGTGCCCTGTTCAGCCCTCAAGAAGGGAGCTTTCCAAAAGCTCTGGGATTTCCTGGAAACTTTTTTTTAACAATATTTACCAATAAACTGCATATATTAGATAAGATGAAATGTGAAGAAGTTCTTTATACTTCAGGACATGTGGTATGTCTGTTAATTTGTATTGGTATTTTCTTTGTTTTGTAGGTGTTTACACGTGAGTGCATGAGCCACTATCTAAGAGTATTTAATTTCCTTTGGAGAGCAAAGAGAATGGAGTATATTCTTACTGATATATGGAAAGGGCACATGTGCAATGCAAAGCTTCTGAAAAGTATGCCAGGTGAGAGGTGTCCAGATGGATGACATGCTTCTAAAATAGATACAGATGACTGCATCTTATTTTAGACTGCATCTTATTTTAAACTGTATGTTAAGGGGGAAAAGACTGTCTGATGAATTATATTCAGATTAATTTTGCATTTTGGTGCTCCTCTTGACTGGCTGTTTAATGGTAGATGATGGTAAGGATGATCAAAGTAAAATAACATAATAGTAAATAGAAGTTTCATATCTGTTGTTTTACTTAATCCTTGATTCCTGCAAAGCTGCACTAATGTAAGTATCTTTATGCTGGCCTGGTTGTGAGACTGTACCTCTTCCATCCCTATGTATTCATCTTCCTTGATGCCTTCTTATTTGTACCCCATGTCTCCCTCTTTCTTAAGCTGTCTGCATACATTAAGTCTCATGTATGCACAGTTCTGAATTTACTAGTTTTACCTTCACTTATTCCCTCTGCATTTGTTTAGCTAAGAACAGAAGAGGCTAAGAAGAGAAAGATGTGTGAAAAGAAATAGGAAAGCTCTAAAATGTAGTGGCTCTGGTGTATGTTTCATGGACCAGGACTTTTTGATCCTATTTCTCAGCTAGAGAATGTAGCCATATTTGTGAGCATCTGTACTGGCTCACTCTTGAAATTTTTTTTAATCTATCTACATGTCTTTCAGTAAAAAATAACTATTGAGAATTACTCTTTATTATGGCATAGTAATACTTACAAATTTATTGTTTTATAATTAAGAATTTCTGGTGGGTGGGAGAGGGCACCTGGCCTCAGAAGGTCGCTGCTGCTACCATCTAAGATTAGTGGCTGTGTTATGAAGTATTCAATATGGTGAAGAGAATTTATCAAGCTGATTTGTTGGCTGTGCTTGTCCTTGCAGTCTTTAACATGCTGTCTCTTTGGATTTTTACAGAGCTTTCTGGTGTGCTGCATCAGTGTCACGTTCTGGCATCAGAAATGGTCCATTTCATTCATCAAATGCAGTATTACATTACATTTGAGGTATGCTCTACCCACACAATTAGTTACTTAGAAAATGAAGTACTTGCAATATTCTGTATGTGTTGTGTGTCTTAAATTTCAAAGAGCTTGCCATCTAGCAAATCAAAACAGCCCAATCCTGTATCATTGCTCCAGGTGCTTGAATGTTCATGGGATGAGCTCTGGAACAAGGTCCAACAAGCACAGGACTTGGATCACATCATTGCAGCTCATGAAGTTTTTCTGGACACAATCATAGCTCGGTGCTTGCTGGATAGTGACTCCAGGGTGAGTCTTCTCCTTTGCATGTAATTGTAACTTTATGATGTTGGCATATATGTCAGGAACAACCTTCTTTAACATTGTAGGAGCAAAGGGAACGGTCATTTTTATTCCTCTGATATAAGATTTAATAATGGTAGGTTCACTACCTACTGCCCAGATATAGTGACACATGTTGATAATAAGGCTTGCTGTAGTGTGGGCCAGTTCTTTTTTATCCTGAGAAGCTGTGTGATCATGGAGCAACTGACTTAGGGCTTTGCAGAGTAGTCTCTCCAGCTGTGTAAAAAAGATTTTTTCTTTACTTTTTTTTCCTTTTCCTGTGGTCCTTTTCTGGAGAAGGGTAGTAAGTTAAAACTCTTGTGCTGTACAGCTGTTTAATTACTTTGTTACCTGTTTCACAGGTACTTCTCAATCAGCTTCGAGCAGTTTTTGACCAGATCATTGAGCTCCAGAATGCCCAAGATGCCATGTACAGAGCTGCTCTGGAGGAGCTGCAGCTGAGGTTGCAATTTGAAGAGAGGAAAAAACAGCGTGAGCTTGAGGTATGAGAAGGATATTTCTGGAGTGTGAAAATGAATTGAGGCTTTTGATATATGGAGGATTTTAGATACCATGTAGCAGTGCAGTAAAAATGAGGAATGTAGTTGGGACAGATGTAAAAGTTGTCAGAAGTTGCTGGTGACTTCAAGTGAAACGGCTGAGTGGTGTTTTTGATTTCTGTCTTGCCCAAAATCTGAGTTGATTTCTTTAGTGGACTTTGGAGGATGACAAATTTAGGGCTCTTAGATGAAGTAAATGGAATCCTTTTGCAAAAAATGCCGTAGCTCCATGTCTGCCTCCTTGCTGCAAGACTGACAGGCAGTGTTGGTGTGAGACTTGCCTTGCTAATAAACCTCTGATTTCTTTTATGTGCTGTACAACTGCCAAGAGGGGGTCTGATATTTCCATTTTGGAGGCTCTGTGCTTGTCTTTCTATGGCAGCGGTTGGTTTTTATAAACCTGATGTAGCTGGGCAGAAGGTGGCCTAGTTAGCAACTTGAGTCATGTGATGCTTCACCTCTAAACTTGTTTGGTTTCTGTGTAGGGCAAGTGGGGTGTAACTGCATCAGAAGAGGAAGAAGAGAACAAGAGGATGAAAGAATTTCAAGACTCAATACCTAAAATGTGCTCACAGCTGCGAATACTCACTCACTTTTACCAGGTGCCTCTTAAATTATATTTTTCTAAAATATGCTGAGCTTTGTGTAGAAATGAATTTCAAATATTGAGTGGATGTAACTTCTATATTCACGTGTGTGCAGTTTGTGGAGCTAGGCCTTTGTTTTTTTCCTTCTCTACTTAAAAGCCTGTGTTCACTGTTGCTTAGTAGTCAAAGGTTTTGTGATCATTTATATTCCTCAGACCAAGGAGAAGAATCTTTTCATGTAAGTTGTCTTCCTCCAGCAGGGAAAGTAATAGCTATCTTTTGGTGTAGTCTGAGGGGGGAAAAGACACATTTCCTTCTGCATTCCATTTGTTTCCTCACAGCCTCTGCAAGTCATTGCTTTTAAAGACTGCAGAAAGTTTCTTATTAAGGGCCTGACACTTCATTTTAAGCTAACTGGGGGTGGGGGGGCAGTGGATAAGATGTTTGGGGTAACATGTGCAGGCTATCTTCTGTAAGTAATTTATTCTGGCTTTATTTGTTATATCTGATGCTAAAGCTACCATTCCCCAGAAAAATGAGCCTAGGTCTTTAGGTGTAGGTTGTAAATAAATTGTGGTTTCTGTGCTCTACCAGATTGCTACATATTGGCAATGTAGGTTTTGCCTGCTTGGACTGTATTCATGCTAAGCCCTATTATGGATTTTCCAAACAGGATTTCCATGGCCAGCTTTGGTCACCTTTGGAAGTAATGGAGTGCTCTAGTTATGGGCATGTTCATGTTACTATTTACTGGAGATTAGGAATGAGCTCTTCAAATGAGTCTTCCCCTCCTCCCAGAGTCCTCTCCTTTCCTGTGTCCTGTGGGGCTCCTGCAGTGGTGTGGCTAGAGCTGAATGGGAAGATAGGATGCAGAAGTGTACTTCCCACCTGCCAAGTGCAAATTCCCCCTCAAATTGCTCCAAATGCTCAGTGTAATTGGGTCTGCAGCACTGACTGCCCTCTTGGGCACACATTTGCTGTTCTGTGTGCCCTGTGCTACTGTACAAGCCACATCAAATGGGTATGTTTGAAGCCAGCAGTGCCCTAATGCTGGCCTGGATGGCATTGTGCCTGCAACACAGACTCAAGGTGAGGTCTCCTGCTGGCACAGGTTGGATCCTGAATGATGTCCTGAGGCACACGGAGGCAGCTGCTCTGCAGCCTGGGAGCCTTCAGACAGATGGAGTGTGCCAGCAGGGCACAGGGAGTGGGGAACACACTTTAAAAGACCAAGCTGTTTGCACTGGAGACTTAAAAACGGAGCTCTGGGTTTTTGCAGAAAGAGTGAACCCACCATAACTGTTGGATATGAACCCTTGTGCTTGCCTTTTCCCAGATTCTGTCTACCAGATCTGTGCACCACCTGATATTCCTGTTTAAAACACACCAGGGGTGCTTCCGTAACTGTCTCTTGGGTTTATCTTTTCAGGGAATTGTCCAGCAGTTCTTGGTCCTGCTGACAACCAGTTCAGACGAGAGCCTTCGGTTCCTGAGCTTCAGGCTGGACTTCAACGAGCACTACAAGGCGCGGGAGCCGCGGCTGCGCCTGTCGCTGGGCACGCGGGGCAGGCGCAGCTCGCACATGTGACACCGCTGCCAGCGCCACCGCGGCCACAGCGGTGACAGCGCAGCCAGACTGTGGGATCCGTGTCTCCGCTGCTGCAGGCAACACGTTCTCAGCCAGTGCTGGTGTGACACTGGATAGCAGAAAGCAAAAAAGGCAGGGTTTTTTACACTGATGTTTCTAGAATTACCAGATTGTGTGGGCTGATTGAACCTCATTCAATCAACTGGTTAAACCATCCTTTTAAATAAACGCCAATTTTATTTGAGGCTTTCTGAGCTTTTTCCACTGTAACTTATATCTGTGTCAAAAAAAAAATCACATGTTCTTTTGTTTATAGAAAGCACCATTTCCTTTTTTAATAAGAAAATAAGAAGGTTATTTTTTCTATATGTACTTGTTCTATTTGAAGAGAGCTTTTGTTAAAGCCAACAGATCAGGACCCAGACCTATTGTCTTTGTTAAGAAGCTATACAGCATTTCATTTATGCTGATTTTCAGTGTTGTGATGTGTTTGACTGTGTGAGAAACTTTGTATCAGGAGACATAAAGTTATATTTAATTTTTTTGTTGTTTTCAAAGTTAAAAACCTGGAATAAAAATTTAGTTGGGAAATTCTATTGTTACTGTACAGGAGCGAACTATAAAAGCAGAGTCAGGAGTGTATCTGTTGCACATAACAGCTAAAAATGAAGTTAATGCCTCAGTACTGAAGGAAGGTGTTGATCAATCTTGAGTACTTAATGTTCAAAATCAGATATGTAGAAACAAACTGACTTGGCTAATGTTGATGTCATTCTCTTCACTTTCCTATTTTTTTCATTGTAAATATTTATATATTGCTGTCCAGATGTTGGGGAGAGGGGGATTCTTCTTTTGCAAAGTTGTCATTATATCAGGTCATTTATTATGTTCCACAAGTGCGAGCTTAGAAAAATAAAAACACAATTATCTTTCACACAAGTGTGTTGCTTTTTGTAATTGAAAGTTTATAATTTTTTTTCACAGGTTAAGAAAGGAGAAGCTTCCAGTTAAAATTATACTGATTTATAGAACCCTTCCCATTGCAGGATTTTGGTACTAGTCTTATATTTACTGAGATTTGTGTGCAGTTAATTAACAATTACCCTCAGATCAACCAGGTCTGGGGCCTTTTTTGCCTTTTGCCCTTACTCTGCTGGAACCCTTGGGAGTCAGAGGCACCTGCCCGGCCATGCAGATAAGGCTGCTGTGACTCATCATGGCAGTGAGCTCTGATGGGGCCATGTGCTGACTTGCTGCCCTGGACTACCTAGTTTGCTCTCTGGACACCAGGATTCCTGTTGTGCAGGCCTCAGAATCCTTGCTTTTGTTAAAACATGGAAGGCTTTTCACTCTGTGCCCTGCTGGTACAGGTGCTGTTACTGGGTGTAGTGTGCAGGCAGCATTTCAGCTGTGAGCAAGGATGGCCTCTGAGAGCCAAGGGAAAGCTGGAGGATGCTGAGCTTGGCATCATAAGGTCATGGATCATTGACAGCCAGGAGTAACTCAGTTTTTGCCAATGTGGTGGGGACTTAATCTTTGCTGTCCTTCCAGACTTTACAACAATAAGTTTTGGTAAAAACACAACCAAATAAATATTAGCTGTACGAGTGCTCTTTTGGCCATGTTTGTGTTGAGAGATTTGTTGCATGATCACATCACTAGACAAGTCAGAGGCCAGAGAGGCAGCACCAATGTTGGAACTAGAGGACAAGTTCCAGAGGAAGGTTAAACTCTCTTTGCTCCTAAAATGAATCCAGCGGTACCCAGGAAACTCATAGTACTGGACATGCTGGCAGTGATCATTTTGATGTGATTTTACAGCAACCTGTTGGTCTGGGAAAGGTCTTCTCTGCCGCAGGAGTTGCTCTGACTGCCAGGCTGAGGGGACCACTGGGGACCTGCCATTGTCCCATGCTTCTTTGTGGGTAGACGTCTGTCTCTTACCCTGTAACCTGGCAGCTGATACGTTTATTTCAGTTTACACAGGTTTTCTTGTGACAACTTCACCTCTGTCAACAGTTCCTAACAAGTGTGAGAGCAATGATCTGGTATTTCATTTGTGCCCAAAGACCAATATTGAATTCTACATAAATGCACATAATGACAGGCTCCTGCTGCTGTGACTGCACAAGTGGCTTTCCTTGTAGTGGGTGGCAGCAGCACCATTAAGGTTCATTTCTGAGGAGAAATATGAGAGATTTTCACCTCTTTATTTTTCAACACTTAAGTTAAATACTGCAGTCAATGCTAAAGGATAACTCTTAGCAACTTTGCATTTACTATGCAAGGATGTTCTTTATTTTTTAATGCACACTTCTGAATGGTAATTTCAGTGGTTTTTTCTTAGAGTTACAGTGTCTGAAAATACAGATACAGCTGTGTGTCTGTGTCTCCAGCCATGTTTCCAGGCTGGAACAAGCCCAGCTCCTGCTCACTGTATCCTGTCCCAGGGCAATTGCCAACTGAGCCTGCACGCTTGGCCCCTTCCTTTTCAGGGTTGCCAAGGCCTAAAGAAATTTTGGACAAACTGCAGTAAAAGTAGAAGTGCAGAAACCAAGAATAAAACTATCACCCAACTTTGGGTGTCATACAATATGCAACACTCTTCTGGGTGAAGACCTATCCATATGGTGCTACCAATATCATAAATGCTTTAGAAGAGCTGGAAAATATGTTTTTTTTCTTTTAAACTACAAGGGATATTGTTCTGGTAACTGAAGGGAAGTAATATCTTAACCAATGTGACCTCTGAAGAAGAAAAAGTTAAAAAACAACCCCTGAAAGTTTCATCTCCCTCTGTAAATTCTAACAGCTTGACTGTACCAGGGTACTGTATGATGTAGTTTAGTATTTTAGAAGCATCCACTAGGACATGGAGAAGCTCATGATATAATGTCTTTTCCAGTGAATTCGTTATACTCCATCCTTGATCTCCTACCCTAAGCTTATAATCATAATCCAGTTTTATTTAAGTGATTCTATCCAGTCAAGGCCTTGTGTATTTTCTCCTCTTATACCACAGGCAGTGAATAAATGCCAAGGTCTCTCAGCCTTGTAAAGGAACAAACTATTTCTTTAAAAAGCCTTACATCTATGTGATGTGTTTTGTTAAAATTAGTTGTGGAAGGATGTTATCTTCCTCCTGTCACATATGTAAGGTGTTCATGTTTTGGACAAGAAGTTTTTCAACATTTTAAAATAGCATTCTTATCAAGAATGGCCAATTATCTTTGGTCAATGTGGAGCTGTAACTTCCAGCATGCTACATCTAGCAATGACTTTCAGTGTTGAGCACACTCTTTAAGTACATATATAACTTTTTAAACAGACTAAGAGTTGCAAGATAATAAATGGTTAGGGAAAAGGGAGGTATTTGGACAGAAAATTGAAGCTTGATTTTAAACTTTTAGACTTAAAGATAGGAGTTGTCTGTGATCTTGCATGAATGTTTCCTAATGCTGACCTTAGAAACAAGCCGTGGCTGTGCACATTTGTACTCATTTCAATTTTCACCTGAATGAGCAGCCTCAGAGATGACAGAATGTGTTTCACACTCACATAAGGGTGCTCAGGGAGTTCTCCAAAGTGCCTCATTAATGTTGAAAATCATCTGTTGATTACTTGAAATCTAAAATGCCACTTTAGACACTAATAATATTCTGCTAACTGGAGAGAGGAAAAAGTTGGGAGAGCTGCATGAGATGTGCAAATATTGGCAAGTAGAACAAGAACCTGCTGTTTCATAATTCAGGAAATAGTTCTCTCTGGTTTCCACAAAGGCATTGTAACCATTGCCTGCTCTACCCTATTTAACAAAACAAGATTACTTACAATACCAAGGATGATAATAATAAACAATTACAGGTAAAATACTCTTTCTTAATCTGCAGTTGTTCAGAGTGAAAAATTTCTGCTGCCATTGATTTAGCATGTATCATTCTGAGAGCTCGCTGAACCACAGTTTTAAAATATAAGGAAACATTTTATTTTTATGTTGACAAGGAATACTATGACTTTAAGGTATGAACCACTCAGACTCCCTAAAGCAAAAGGCTCCTTGATGTAGTACTTTAACTATTTTTGTTAGCTTGGTGCAATGCAGTCCTTAAGGTGTGAAAATCGCTCGTAAGGATTAACTTGGTGCTTTCTCTCACCAGAAGAGCAGTAAAGGTACCTCAGTCAGTATTTATTTTATTTCTTTTTGTTCCAAAGTTATCTTTTTGCTAATAAACTCTGACAACCCAGTACTGTACATTTTTCATAACATCATTGGACTAAAACCTGAGTGCCACATGAGTGGAAATAAGGGACTCAAGTGCAGGTGAAAAGCCAAAGCTGACCAGAGGGGTATGGGGTCAGAGAGAACACAGAGGTCAGGAGAGTTAAGGAAATCAAACTGGTGGATATTCATGCACAAAAGGACAGAAGGGCAGAGAAGAGAGCAGGAGCCCTGAAAGGCATCAAATGGTGGCCGAAGAGATGCTCAGGGAATAGCAGAGAAAGAAAAACATACCAAGAAAAATCTGAGGAGTGTAGGAGGTGAAATTTCTATCACTGCACAGTTAATTCACTTTAGCTCTTTGTGGAGCAAATTATGTTGAGTGTTTTCCTTCAGAAGTTATCAGAACAGCAATTAAGTTAGCTAAACATTTAGGTATAGAAAATGCAATTGGAGTGATTATTACCATCAGTCTGAGTATTATAACATATGATAGGAAAAAGCTGTCACAAGGTGATTACCCCATGTATGAATTCTTCCAGTGCCGCAGAAAATGAAAATGAGTTATTTGCATTTGAGTTACCTGCCTGAAGAACAAGGTAGTTTAGGCATCCAGGATGCCTCTCAATTCTAAAATGGGAACATTCCCAAAGCTGCTCAAGGCCACTTCATCACCCTTTAAAGTTTTTCCAAAAAATTACTGAGAGGGAGATAAAGAACAGTCCTCTGCCTTGCTTTCTAAGAAGGCACTGCATTCACTCCTTAAAAGAGGGTATTTGTACTGAG